CGTCTTTCCTCCTCCGCACTCTGCTTAGCGTTTGCTTTTCTCAGCTGAGGGCCTGGGTGGGGCGAGGCTGCCTCGACGTGGTCAGCACGTCTTTGAAAACGCCAGGGTGTAGCTCAATAAGCACACGCAGCTGGAACACTGGCTTGGATGCTTGTGAGTAAAGTTTGAGTTAGGGAAATGGGGTGAGAAGTGTTTCTGCCTGGCTGCAGCTGCTTTTTCCAAGCACAGACAGCAACCCCAACTTCATTCGCTTCTTTCCATCCCAACCCTCTCCTTCCCTGTTTGAAATAGGGGAGCAATATTAATCTTGGCCAACCTTAAAGGGCTGTTATGACTATTTATAAACTGATCTCTGGACGTGTTTGAGATTCCAAAAACACAAACCAAAAAAACCTGCCTACATACATGCAAACCCTGTGGTAGTTCCTACTTTTGGGGTGTTTTTGTTGTACACCGCCCAGAGTCGCCTGCAGTTATATGGGCGGCTATATAAATTGATTTAATAAATAAATACATAAAAGTCCATCAAGGCCAGTTTTCTTTCCAAAGGCAGGGTGGGGACAGCCGCCTCTTGTGGTTTATGCACAATGTATGGCATTCAGTGGCAGACTGCCTCTCTTCCATCCTAAGGCAACTGCTGACCGACTAAATATATCTCCTCCATGAATGCATCTAGGTCTTTTCCATTTGTAAACTGAAGCAGCCAGTGCTGCAGTATATTATACAAGCAAAACTTGCACAAAATACCCTTCTGATCACCCCTGTCTGAGCAATCTAAATCATTCAATTATTTTAGGCTTTGCATTTCTGCTCACCATTTTCCCCCTAAAATCTTTTTTGTACTTGGCAAATCCTGACCCCTCCCTAAACTGATATCTCCCCTCTTGTGTGTGATTTTTTTTACCTTAAGTGAATGAGTTCATAACATATAGGACACGTGACAGAAGATTTCCACCCAACGTTGTTTTAACTGGGTGATTCCCCGTAGTGTTGTACGATGAGAGAAAGAACAATTCCATCAACTATACAGTAACTGTCTTGTTTCATTAGTTTTATGAATTAGCTGCGGCATGAACATTCTCCACAAGAGGGGACAGTGAGACTTGAAAAGGATGAATTCTCTTTGCTATCTTAACCATGCGAGAAGACACTGAGCATCAGCTAACAACCAACTTTCTGCCCTACACAGCTCACTGCATAATTATTTTTCAAAATTGTACCAAGGATACTGCATTAGACCCACTTCCCCGGAACTAAGAATATTCCTCACATCCAGGCCAAAAACTGCTAGTGTTTTTTTTTTTTTTTCTACTGGAATCTTTTCCAAAACCACTGCACAGCCTGCCATGAGTTGTGAAAGCTAAGACAGGCTGGGGAACTTAGGCGTAGGATGAGATGAAGCATTGCTCTGCATGAGATTTCTAATCTTACTATCTAATTGATAATTAGAGATCTCATGTCAGAATTAGAAGGTTGGATTGTAACACAGAGAGTGCTGCTTCCATGGTAATTTAAAATTTGGTAGATTATCTGTCTCTCCAGAAATAAAAACACTACTGTGTCAAGGTAACACAGCAGTAGCAGATTTAGGATGAAGGGTTTCAGAACTCCCGGGTTCAAAATGCTCAAGAGATGTTTTTATTTTGCTGTCTGCGCAACTGAGTATATCCCTTGAAAACCAGCGGCTTCTCTTCAGAAGCTATGGCGAATGCCAGCTTGAGGCATCCTTTTCTCCCCGGCTTCTTCTGCACTGTGGATGACGAATGTGGGTAGCGCCTTTGCTGATAATGATCAATATCCTTAACCATTTGCCTTCTCCCTACAACGCATTGAGTGAATAGCGTCTCTGTTTCCAGATCCTGTTAAAGCTGCTATTCCAGACTAGAAATGGCTATGTGTCAGGAAATGCAAGGCATCATATTGCCCACCTCTGCACTTATTGAAGGATGAGGAGGGGGGAAGCAAGCTGGTACTAGCATTTGATAACCTGCCACACTTTCTATCATATGAGGCTACAGGAAAATTGAGCCACAGATGATGGAAGCCTGAAAGTTGATAAAGCTTTTGCCATTAAGTTAATATTGCTAAGTGTACAGGATCCTTAAAAGGGCTGCAGTCTGTGTATTTTTTTTTTTTAGGCAGAAGCTAGTTTAATTATTCTGCAGCATCTATGCTGTAGGATTCGTGCTCCTCACTTAGATAACCAGGAAGCATTAAAATATTCCATCTCTTGGCCCAGGTCCTGCCTTTAACAGTCATCCTCTTCTCCCTTTCTTCCTGAATTAATAATTGGACTTTTCTATTTCCTGAAGCAAAAAATATCTGACTTGTTGAAATCGGAGCCCTGGCTTGCACTTAATCTGAGCTGCAATATCGAGCCGGATTTTCTTGCCTGGATGTGTGAACTGGGGGTGGGGGAGGAGAGCAAGAGAAAATTGAGCCACAGATGATGGAATATTCCCCAGGGAATAAGAAATGCGAGTCTCTAGGATGCTTGTCTTATTCTACCCTGAGTGGGAAATTCTGAAGTGCCTCTGAAAACCTTACTAGCACACCCAGATCCTCTTCCTGCTTTATCCAATTTACTGTTTGTTTTGGGCAACCTGTTATCACATTCTGACAAACCTGCACGTGGGTCAACTGCAGTAAGGGTATCTGCTGGGGAACCGCTGAATATGGAAATGAGGCATTCACATGGGGTCAGCTTAATGAACTAGTTTTCCTAGAGGGCTTCTTAGAAAACTGAGGATGGCTTTCTGGACCACGTAGCTGTTGGAATTGCATTTACTGAGTAGGTACATGAGTAAGGACATGTTCCAAGAGGTACATGATAGATGCCATTGACTACATGGTGAGCCCTGCTACTGATCTGATCAATGTGCAAAGGAAAGACTACCATTTATGTCACATCCAGAAATGCATGGTAGAAGTGCTTTTCCATATTTTTATCTTTGTTCCCCCATGTCTGTGATGAAAACCCTGCAGGGCACCCCGACCGTAGTCCTTCTGCCAATACCCATCTGAGAAAGCCATCTGTTCCCATATAGAATTTCCCCCAATGTGGCAACAGGATTTTGCTGCATATCCTCAGCTGATTGTTCCCTGGGGGATAATTGATACTTTAAGTAAATGTGTTTTTATGTAATGGTGCTGCTCCAAAAGACATAACCACAGGATGCATGAAATGATAAAAAAGGTCCCGTATCAAAGCAATACAAAGACACTTTCAGAGGCTGGCGAGAACTAAAGTTTCATTGGGGCTGGGCAGAATAAGAGAATGACAGCTGGGCCCAACGAGTGAGCTCATGCTAACCAAGTGGGTGGAGAAGACGCATATGGCAGAGCAGACAGCACAGCAGGGAAAATAAAGTAGATAGAAACAAAATCAGGAAATCACACTAACTTTAAGAATTATAATATAAATTACTTTTTTCTCTTACAAATTCATACTTAAGAATAGTTTTATCATTCAATTTGGCTAAAAACATTGAATTGTACAACACGTCTAATCTTAGCCTTTTGTGGTTAAGTTTAGGTTAGTTTATTTATAGATTTTATTTTTTATGCCACCCAATTCCAACTGACTCTCCAGCTGAGATTAAGTGTGTGTATTTGTGTTAGGGTTTCATCAGAGTTACGGTTAAATTAAGGAGTAAGTTTTTATCATTTGTGCTACATTTGTTACTGTGATATCAGACTTCATACTAGGCATAACAATAGATCTCAGTTCTCCAGACATTCAACCCTGTAAATCAGATACTTGCTTACAGAATCAAACACTGAGATCAGTTGCCTTATTGCAAACAAGGAAGAAGTCATATATTAGATCCGTGTACTGCACAACAGCAATCAAACCATGTGCATTTGTGTGTGAGCCCAGGGTTTAAATCCTTGGCCTTTTGAGTGAATTGATTTTCACCATTTTTTTTCTGGCCTTAAGAATCAGAAAGATCTGCTTGGCATTTATGTAATTATTCTGTTTTAGGCTAATTCTTGCTTCACCAGTTTCACCCCTTAAAGCCCAGAGATTTGGGATTGAGATTAGGATAAATTTTTGTGTTGGTGTTAGAGTTTGATCAGGGATATAATATTTAATGGAAAATGCTGGAATTAGAAAATGGATCCCCAAGTATCTCTTCCTTACCAGAGATTAAAAAAAACCCATACATTTTAAGGAGCCAAGAAGGAGGCATTCACAGGATTAAAAGTACTTATATTCTTTGAATTAAAATGTATGTGGGCGTGCATGACCAGTCTCAAACCTCTGGACAGAAAACTCTGTTCCCTTTAACAAGAGCCACGTGGCTTGCAAAGATACTCTTCATTTGGTTGGATCCAAGTAACTGTAAGATATGCTGACTAACCAGGTGGCAAAGACATAAGGAAAGATGGCAAATGACTTGTCCCAGTCAGAAATGTAACGGAATTATGCTGTCTCCAAGTGCAAACAGATTTATCTAATATCTGACCATATAATTGAGCACCAGGAAGGGAGAAGATCAACTATTCATAAATATAACTCTGTCTCCAACATCAAGAATCTCGAACAAAATACTCACTGGGCAGAAGAGCCTGTACCAGGAAAAAGCAATCCAACAAATTTAACAAAATGTTTATTACAAAAAAAAGGAAAAATCAAAAACCCACATGCAAGAACATACTCAAGTCAAGTGGGAATTCCATCAGTCAGCTCATCGGGGAACTGAATATTTGTGACACAAGAAACATCTGAAGAACAGACAGATGACTGTAAGATATCCCTGCCTTAAAACTATAGGCAAAATATTCCAGTCTCTTGACAAGGACCCTAAGCACAGCATCCTGGCATTGCTATGCCAGCCTCGACCTGTTACTTGCCAGCAATAAGGGGATTCCTCAGCACTACAATGACTGAATCTCCCCGCAGGAACATCTTCGAGATGTAGCGGTCCTTGTTGACTGGCTTGGACTTCTTCTTGCCTTTCCCACTCTTGGGCACCTCTGTCCACATCTCCTTGACATTTTCTAACACCATGTTGCAGTGCCTAGTGGGAAAAGGGTCTGTTATACAGAGACAAGATTCCCCGACTGGCTCCTGGCAAATCAGTAGGGAACAGAATGCCTGCCCCATTCCCTGATGCCAAACAACCCTGCTGTTCCAGAGGAAGTTCTGAGAGACGTAGCTAAACCCCAACCCCTGCAGAATTCAAGTCTGAAAAGTAGGGATGCACAACTATTCTGATCCGAAGTAGAAAAGGGACTTTGAATCCACTGGCAATGTGCTTGCAGTACCCGCTGGCAGCTTCTTAAAGAAGCCATGAGCTTTCCTGGGAACTGATGGTATCCATATTATTGCAGTCTGTATGGCTCCCATCTGAGCCCAGGAAGAGCACCACTTCTTTAAGGAGCCACTGACAGTTGTGTACCTATGCTGGATCCAAAGCACCTTTCCTTCTCTGGATCCCCATAGCTGCATATTCCTTCTGAATAAGAAATCTTAAGCGAACCAGAACACTACAAAATTGTTTCACTGAAAATATAAACTAAACCCGCAGATAACCATCTGACAGAATAGAGAAGTTCCCAGATGAGAACTTACCTATCAAAGGCCTTGACACGCCCCAGAAGCTTCTTGTTATTGCGACAATTAATTAGCACCTGGGTATTATTTTTAACCGATTGTGTGAGTACTGACAAAGGCCCTGTATTGAATTCTTCCTCCTCCCGCTTTTGCAGTTCTTCAGGGGTCATCTCACTTTTAGGTTTGTTTAAGAGGCTCCTAAAAAAGGAAAGGAAAATAAATAAGCGTCTTCCTCCAGCCAGTAGCAAAATTGGTTCAAAATAATGAGAAACAATTGTCTATTATATTAAGAAAGGGCTGTTTTGAGGAAGATGGTGTAGCTACCAGGTATTGAAACCAAGAGTCAGTGCTGCATCTCTCTTAGTCAAGCACAAACAAGGTCACAAGCTCAGAAGCTATGACTGTCCCCAGGTATGGGGAACCACAGGGGACCTCCTCCCTGTCTCAGAGGGCAGCAGCAAAGACATTATTTATTTACTTATTTCATTAGATTTGTTATGGCCACCCTTCCCATATGCTCTGGAGTTTACGGACTGCATTTCCACAACCTACGAATCAGCCAGCTGCGTTTTAACTCAGCGTGTTGGGCAAACACCACCCATGGGTTCATTTATGGCTTTGTGTGCCTTGGAATCTCAGAAACCAGGTTCAACCAGGGTTAACTTCAGAGAAGAACATTCTTGAAGCATAGCCATCAGTCATTACGGTAAAGGGCAATTAGAATACTACACAGCCACTGCAGGTAAATAAAGAAAAGGAGGAGCTCTACGGATCTCAAGGAAATGGTGACTTAATGAGGTGGCTACATTGTTTGTAACATCTAATGCTCTCTCCTAGCCTTTTAATAATAATATAAATGTGTTAATTGTGGAATGTTTTGAAAAATCTTATATTTGTTGTGTGAGGCCCAGAGTCACGTTCTGTGAGATGGGTGGCCACAGAAATAGGATAAATAAATACGTGCCAGGCAAGGGGACCTACAGCCCCCCCCCCAACCTTGCGGGCGTTCATCCCAGCCCACAAGGAAATGTCAGGCACCCCCCCCCAGCAAAACCTGGGGGAGGGGAGAACGCAGACAAGAAAGTGACAGGAGGAAGCCCTTCCCTGCCCCCCCACCCTCCCCGGCGGCTACTCCAGAAGAGAGCGGAGAGGTAACGGTCTTCTAACGGGGGCACCCATTCCAAGGTTTACGGTGAAGCCCAGAAAAAGCTTCTACGCATATAATACATATACACAAAAGACAACTCCGTCCTCCCCCCACACTAACGACGACCCCCCCCCGCAATCTCCCTCCTGGCTTCCTCACATGATGCCGCTGCGATAGACCCGCCGCTCGCTTGAGAAACGACTCCGCCGCGGTCGGCAGGAAACACTTTCCGCTTCCGGGCTAAGGCGAGGGCGCGCATGCGTCGGGCCAATCAGGGCAGGCGGGGTTGGCCTCCCACTGGCGGTCTCCGTGGCAACGGCGACGGCGAGCCCAGCGGGTCAAAAAAAACCCTACACGTTTTCCACAGCGCGTGCGCCGGAGGGAAGGCGGCCTTTTCCGTGGCGTCTTGATTAGGCGACGTAAAGCGTGAGGAGCGCGAAGCCTAAGCGCGGGAAGGCAGGAGGGTCGCCCATTAAAGCGGCCGAGAGGAACGTAGCTTGCGTTATACTCCATTTTGTCCAATCCTTGGCTGAACTTACAGTACTTGCTACAACAATCCTGCGCGGTAGGCCAGGATCTCCCGAGAGACCCATGGCTGAGTGGGGATTGCAATCTGGGTCTCCCCAGGCCTGGTTTCACCATCCCCAGGACTCTGGGGAGAAGACGCCGCAAGCCCAAGTGACCGTGGCCCCCCTCGTTCAACTTAGTGGTTAATGGCGGGGTCGATGATTGATTTATTACATTTATATCCCACTTTTATTTTGTACAAGGCGGGGTATATAATGCTCCCTCTGCCTGTTTTCCTTAACAACCACAACCCTGCGAGGTGGGCTGGGCTGACTCAAAGTCACTCAGCTGTTTTTCCCACCTGAGGGAGGATTAGAACTCGCGCCCTCCCAGTTCCTGGTCCAGCAGCTTCCCCAGGACACCAGCCAAGCTAACGGAGCAGCGGGCGTGGGCATCCCTGCCTTATTGCTGAAATGGCCCCACTGAGCCAGCCCCCGATGGAGCCCAACCCTCCTGGATGGCGAGCCCAGCCACAGTGCTTCTCCCCTTTGAATCCCCTTCAGTTCCAACTCTGCATCTCCAGCGCTTGGATTCTGTGGGGGACGCTGGTTTGTGACAGAGAGGGGCCTGCCTGCTTTGAGAGAAGGCGAGGCCGCCACGGCCTAACAAGGAGACGCTTTGGGGATAGGTCCAGGAATACAAAGGGGACAGCGGCGTCCTCAGGGTGTGGACGGACAGGTCAAGAAGGTGGCCACAGCCCTACAATCAAGCCAAGATATGACCTTAAAAGTCAGGATGGTGGCCAAGACAGTGCAACCAAAACTCTGTGTTTTTTATGTGCATCATGGACTGATTTTATCTGATTAAAGGTTATGTTAAGCTGCCTTGAAGATTTCCTTCATAGGAGAATGAAAACTTTCACCCAGGGATGCCACAAATTGCCCAGATTGCCATCCAATTGTCCACAATTCTAGGAATGAACATGACAAAATAATCACGTTCCAAATAAAATACAAAGACCAGTTTTGAGAAACATTTGAATATATGTATATATTTTTATTGATTCAGGGGCATTTCATTCATGCATTTCATTGCAGTATCAGAAGGTCTTTTCTTTGATGCTTCTTCCACCAAAACACATTGTTCCAACAGAATTTGATAGACACAACACCTTATGACAGCTCCCACATATAATTAATAATGTTTACTGGCTTCTCTGCGTGAACCTTCATTAATAGAATGTGCCCTTATTTTTTGAGGTTCACCAGGAATTTGGAAATAAAATAGGCAGAACCGTTAAAATAAGTTTTCATGTTAAGGAGCTTCTCTGTTTAAAATAGTGTGGAAGATAATAGAATAAAAATATGATTTTTCATTTTTTTAATAACTCATTCTCTAAGTTCATTTGTAGCCAGCTCTTAAATCTAAATCCACATTACAATAGAAATTAGAATATTTGAAAAATGTAAGTTGCATTTTGTTTCCTCGAGATATGATTTATGCAAGTTAATATTTGAGCTGCAAGTGTTTTGTTTCTCTGAATTAACATGCAGACATTATAGCAACTAATTAATAACAATATAAGAATCCTGTAAAACATTGGAAATAAATATGCTAGAAATTAATTGCTTTTGAATCCATTTTCAAATGTAGGGCACTCAAATCAATGGAACTTCACAGCATAACAATCAAGTTACAGTTCCAAATGCAGTGTTGCTTACTAAGAAATCAGTTTAAAAGAAAACAATCAAAGCTGGAGCTTCATTCAGAAATCAATTTGTTTTAGAAAAACACACACAGTACCTCTCTGGATAAATTCCACTGGGTGACTTCAGTGGAATTTTTGAACAATTGCCATCTCAGCGCTGTAATGTAGCAGATTGGATGTGCTGTTTGGAAATCACCAGCCTCGTATTCCTCTTCCAAACTGCTAGATTTTGAGATCCTTCAATTATACCAATTAACAAGTTGTAAACAAATGAAATATTTCATTTGCTAAATAAAATTAATTTTGCGATTCACTAAAAAATCAGCAAAAATGGCTTCTGGGTAACCTGATTTTTTAAAAATGACGGGTGAATTTATGAATGTTAGCCTCATAATTATAGATGCTTTCTATGTTCACCTATTGTATTCGGTCATGGTTGCTTTATCGTGGTTTGTCAAGTAAGACACAATTGGTGGGATTGGATGTATTATTAAGACAAAACATGGCTTTTAAGCTGTAATGTCAGGGTTTGCACAACACAAAGTAAAACCAAACCAACTACAGTACATGATGGGCAAACCAGGTCTCTATGTCTTGTCTAAAATAGCCTGCCTTTAGCCATGAGATGCTATTTGAACATTGTCTTTGGTCTGTGCAAGTAAAGCATTTCTAATAATAGCTGTCAATTTCTCCATTTCAGATTCATGGGTGCTTTATTCTGACTTGATCTCAGTAGGCCATATGGATCAAGAAAAGGTATGAAATCCATTTTGCACTTTGCATGATCTTTGGAGTTGCTCTTGGGAAAAATGTTTATTTCTTTTTCTGAGGGTTCTTTCTACTTTAAGTTTGAGAGTTAGACCAGGTGACCTCTGGAATCTTTTCCACTTGGGAAGTGTATGATTCTGAGATTGGGGTGAATAGCACTGGTTCAGTACCCCTTTGATGTTCCAAGACACAATAGGTTGTCTTGAAAATGAAATAATGAACCAGTCACATCTTAACACAGGATAATTTTGGGGATCTGCTGAATAAAGAATCATATTTCCATCTGCTGATTGATTATGTGCCATCAAGTTGGTGTCGACTCTTAGCACAGCAGATAAATGTTATTCAGTTAAATATCAAATATAATAAGGGGACAATGAGTTTGTGGACTCCTTTGTTTGTTAATCTTAATTCCTAGAGCGGATTAGTCTTAATCCGTTCTAGGAAGGAGGCAATGGCAAACCACTTCCGAAACACCTTGCCATGAAAACTGCAGGGACTTGTCCAGGCAGTCGCCGCAGAATCGGCCACGATTGAGCGCGGATAAAAAAAAAAAGTAATCTTACTGTCTATTCAGAGGAAATTAAAGGATATGGAGTATTATGGCTTCGGAAACATCTTAGTTGTCTCTAAAGATCAACAGACCTTAGCTGTCAGAATTAGCACTGTATAACCTGAGTATTTAAAACATAACCAAATATTACCGAACCACAGTATGCCTCAAACGGTATAGCTTCTCATCAAAACTTCCAGTCAGCTGTAGAAAGGGATGGCTGCATTCCTCACACTCTTTCATTTGTCTGTTTCTTCCGTTCTTGTTATCTTTCTTCACAGCTGAGATTGTACTGAAAGGTCCTTGTGGGCAGATATCTCTTTGCTGATAATCTAAACAACAGTCTCACCCAAAAGATAGTTTCATCCACCATGCTTGGCTCAGTTCTATTTAGCTGTACCTAAACCTTGTAAATGTAAATGGCCCTTGGCCAGACAATACAAATCTAATTACAAGGAGGAGTTTAACAGCTCAACTCGTCTAAGTTAACACTTTATTGGATGGTGCTTCAGTCGTTTTACTCTTTTTAAATGTATCTCCAAAATGGAAAAACAATCAGGCTTATTAAGAGAAATAAGTTAGTAAGTACTTCTGTAATTAAGCAAATGCTTAGCTTTGCCATTTTGCGCATATCGATTTACAGTATTAGAAAGTTGTGCTCCAGTGATACTGGAGACAACGCAAGGGAATATGTGTGCTGCTTATGGATATTATTTTTATCGATACCTACCGAAGCAGTTCTGTCTCACCTGAAGTTCAAAGCATCGACTTGATTCCAGATGAGGGAAAACCTTGGACATGTACTGGTCAGTTGTGCAATTTCATCAGTCCTTGAAGACATGACTTCTTTCAGTTCCAAATACTAGCAAAAGCATATTTCATGTTTACATCTGCCAGGGGGATATTGACATTATATACATTAGAAAGAAGCAGCAAAGAAAAGGAACACGTGGATTATCAAATTTCTCCACAGTCTCTAAATGGTAACCAAACAATACAGAACACAATATATTGGATTTTTCTGACCTTCGGTGGTTTTAAAGATTAAACATGACCAGGCAAGATGTTTTGTAGTTTTGTTTTTTAGTAAAATGGCTATAGAGAAGAGGAAGTATAATCAAAGTAGACTTGGTTTAAATGAAGCTTGGTGATTTTGAAAAGCAAAGAAGGTTGGGAATTCTGGAGAAAGCTGTCCAGGGAAAGTTGGAAGAACTCCGCCAAGGAGGTTGCCGATGGATTTCGATGGGAGGCCAAATTGAGAGTTCATTGGTAAGGTATGATGGTGTCTCCAAGAGAAGGTGGAACTTGCCTGGCCTTCCAGAAAATTGACTGAACAGGAATCCAAATGATCAGATCTGATGAGACTGTAGGGTAAGGTTGAAGCCAACATCGTTGCTACAAGGTGTTGATGACTGCCTCTTTCAATCTGCCTGTGCCTCCTTGGAGGAGTAAGAGCCTGCTGGGAGAAAGAGCTGGAAGGATGGCCCAGATAAGCTGAAGTAACACCATAGAGAGGAGGCAGAGGCAAATGGAATGATCCATCAAGGGTCATCCCAGTTGAAGGTAGCCTAGCACCCTTCCAGATTGCCATCTTGGTCCGGGAAGCAACGGTCTTCCTCTTCAACTTGCCTGCGGTCCCTCCAATGGAGATGTCTTCACTGGAAGAGTCCAGTATCCAGTAGTTTCCTTTACCTGGGTCATCGTAGTGCCGGGGTACCTTGACAAAACATTTATTCAGGCTGAGATTGTGGCGGACGGAGTTCTGCCAACCTTGCTTGTTCTCCTGGTAGTACGGGAAGTTCCCCATGATGAATTCGTAGATGCCACTGAGTGTGAGGCGCTTCTCTGGGCTCTGACGGATAGCCATCACGATCAGAGCATTATAGCTGAAAGGTGGCTTCTCAGGTTTCCCTCTCCTCTCAGCAGAAATATCTCTTCTCAACGTTTGGCATCCTTTGCTAGGAACTGCCACTACCTCCTCTTCCCCCAGCAGCGATGACAGAGATCCCTCGAGATCTTTGCTTGCGGCTACATCTTGGAGGAGGTTGGTGATGCTAAAGGGAGATTTCAGGACCCAGCTATTGGGAGTGAATTGTTCCATTGCTGCGAAAGGAAGGGATGGAGCTGGGAGATTGTGGGTCCACACAGGAGTCCACAAACTCAGCCAACCTGTCCAGCAAATGGGCTGGATCTTTAATTTAGTGCAGCAAAGGAGCTGCTGTGTGGCCACCAAGTTTCCTCTCTTTTTTAACCAATCCAGGTGGTTGGGCTCTGGCAGTTTAGCCAATCCCATTGCAGTGACTTTGGTATCCATACCCTCTCCTCTCCCATTCAGCTGTGAGCAGCAAAGTGCAAGGCATTGCTCCTGCTTTGGTGACCAAGGAGATCGTGCACAGAGAAGTGATACTATGAAGGAAAGTCCTAGAATGGCCTGTAGGTCAGATCTTACTATGGTGGAAACCGCATCGCGCAATCCTTCTTGGAATCCTGAAATGTTCTAGCTATGAATTGCAGCCGTATCGATTTGCCAAAGCTATGATGCAAAAAAAAAGTGGGGGGATACAACATGCTACATTGCCCAAATTAAAGTATATATAGTAGTTACTTATTGTTTCCTTGGAGATTTCAGGCCAGTATATATCCCTTTCTATTTTCTTTTAGCAACAAACTTATGAATTAAATGGAGAGAGACTGGTTAGTTAGTCAGTCTTTGCTGAATGATTTGACACCCATCCTCCCCACTGTTGTATACTTGTCTTTGCCACAATGCCCCCACATTTTTTATTTGAAAGAAATAAGTAACAGAGGGAACAACTGATTCCTATTTGGTGGGCATTTTTTTATCGGCGTTGAACAAATCCATTATACTCACACAATTAAAATTCCTTTGGTTGGATTCTAAACAAATAACAGGCTTAGGAAACTTGTGAAAGCAGGATTGTGTAGGATACTTTAGAGGGAAGAAAATGTTTTTAAAAATCTATACAAACAAAACAAGGTATTACAGTGTCTTCGTTCCAACCCCCCAGGGACAGATTGAATGCATTTTGCAAAAATAATCCCTCCCTTTTGCTTAAAACAGTGTGAATTATTAACAGCATGAAATCCAACTGATGCTGCGACCCAAGAAAAAAGACATTTTGAAATATACTTTTAAATGCAATATTGTTGTTGAGTCATACATTTATTTTTGCATGCTTGTCCTTCTTTCTCCTTGCCCAAACTGACTGCCACATAGACTGGAGATTTCCATCTATTTTGGGTGATTTAGAACAAAAGGAATATTAAAATAATGAAAGTATAAATTTTAAAAAACATGAAAATACCACATGTATTTTCCAAACTGACAATTGCACTGTCTAGGGCAGTTGTAGCATTATACTAAATGTGTGGAAATAATCGTCAGGGAGTTTCAGGTCAGGAGATTTACTTCTGATCAGAATGATGTAATAACCCTTTCATTATCTTCCTAAATCTTCCTAGTTTTGGGTTGGACTGCGGAAAAATCTAATTTTTTTAAACAACACAACAATAGTGGAGTCTCCATGACTCTGTATCTTTCTGTTGTCTTTTTCTTTTAGTTTTCCAAGAGCAAGTTATAATTTCTGCATCTGTTGTGATACCTGGACTGTAGATTTATAGTACAATATCTCTCAACACAAACATTATCAGTCTGTGCTTTCTGCTAGATGGCTTTTGATCATCTCATTATTTTTAAAATTAGTGTTGATAATTTTATTATTGCATTTGCTAGTTTCAAAGATAAGGGAGAACATGGTAGCATTTACTCAGTATGCTATTTTGTAAAAACAGCCATTGCCATTTTAACAACAGATTTTTCATTTTTGTTTAGAATTTCCAGGTGTTCTTGCACACCTGGAATGCTTTCATTTTGAAGCGGTATTATGAGTCATGGAAGCAGCAAGGCAATTGGATTTTAACAAAAAAATATGACAGTCAATTTAGAAGCTGGGGGATATTTTTTACATAAATTGCTTCTCATTGTTTCTTTCTTGCCCACTATCAGCACTGTCACAGTACTAGTGTGGATGGAACATATACAAAATATGTAATATATCCATTTTCATGAAAAAGAAATAATTCTTTGTGTAGTTTCTGGTAAGGACTGGGAAATGCTAGGAACGGATTATCTTGAAGCAGATATAGGAAACTAACGACTGAAGAATATATTCAAATGCCTCTATTAGACCTTGCTTTTTAATATGGGCATTTTGGGTTGATCATGTGAAATTGTTAGTTTTCTACTTTATATCAGATTTATAACAAGGAAACAAATTTATCCTGATCTAAAATTATTTCTTCAAAGCAAATGTTGATGCATGTCCTTGATGTTCATATAAGAATTAGAAAACAAACTGAAACTAGAATTTCTCTGAAAATCCAGTGATACTGCTGCACCGAGTTTTGAAAAATTTAGAAATTTGTGGTTTGTATTTCTGTGTGTCTGTCTATGTACACTTATGTATGTGATTATTTGTACTATATATTTCAGAAGGGAATTTATTTTTTGCCTATTTTGAAATAAGCTTTGTTTGTAAACTAGGGCATGAACTTTACTTAAAATTTTATTGTGCATTATTTGCAATTAATTGAATCTATAGATTAAACCTTGTTCAAAGAATATTAATTCATTTTGCAATGAAATATTGTTTTCCCCAAATCTTCGTAATTTTGTTTACTTCCAACATCATTCTGTATGGCCATTATTTAAAAAACAACAAAACAATTTTTAAAAAATATTTTTTCAACATTTTTTTTCAGTGATTATTTTTTGAATAGCACACAATATTTGTCATCACTTTTGGTCAGCAAAAAGAGCCCTTCATATGAGGTAACAAATATATGTGGTAAATTTCTTAGGAACCATTTCCTGTAGATAATTCAGTTAAGTTGACCAGGTTGTTTCTCCAGTTAAATAAGTTTCCAAAATTCCTTAATTTGTGGGCAAAATCAGGATCTAAGAAACTGTCCCATTAATTTCACTGGGATGGATAAACCAGGTTTTAAAAGCAGTTGACAATATGGCATGGCAATCTGTTCTACCAAATTTGGTGTAGATATTGCACGCTTCCAGGCCATGGGGCTAAATCCAGTATGAACAGCAGTGACCACAAGGCTTCTGTCTATAGTTTTAATTGGATCCTAACTTTAAAACATAACTGTAAGCAGGACAAATTCCGTGTAAGTTGATGGGAGCTTTGAAAACAAGGCGGCATGCAGAAAACATTGTCCAGCAACCTCTGTTCAAAGAAAAGTTCCCAACTTCGATTTATGTTAGATGGAATATAATGTTGTGATTGTGTAGTCATTCCAGTTTACAGGTTCCATAAATTCCTTTGCATCTTTTTTTAGCGTATATTTTTCAAGAGGTGCAGGGAAATAAGATAAAGATCTTCAAAGAGATTCAAGTGGTTCTTTGAGCTGGAATTTAATACAGCAGTTTACTCATTCTAGATAGTATACTCAATACATTTCTGACTTGCTCTCTTTTCTTTCTTTTTTGCTAGTTAAAAAAAAGAGAAAAAGTATATAAATGTTATCCCAAACGTGGGTGAAGTGTTACTGTTGTGACTTACAAATAAGATAGTCAACACTAAAAAAGAAGGGAATAATTTTTCTGTCTAAAAGTTGTTAAATAGCTCCCATGTTTGTCTGTTTTTTTAAACAAAAAAGTACTGTTTCAATGTGGCAACCAATCTGTAAATGTTAACAATGATTTTGGTGGTACTTTTTAAAAAATAGAATGGCTGTTTCAAAATAAAACAACCCACACTCCCAAACCCTAGGGTTATGATTCCTGAAGGTAACTGTTAAAAGAAACCATTGAACTAATTTTGTAAATGAAAGAAAAACAGAAAAATAGTAGCTCCTAGAGAAGGGGGTATTAAGTTTGTAAAATTGGCAAATAAACATAGTTGTTGTTTTTAACATAATTAGATTTTGTAAATACAGTAAGTAAAATTTTATTTCCACCATAGAGCACAGGTTTTTAATGGTTCCCAAAATCATTAAATCATTTTTACTGCGCATGTAACAACTTGGGAGGCTAAGAGTAAATAATTAGGAGCTGACAAACCTGTGTTTTTTTTTTTAATCAAAATAATTTTTTTAAGGGAGCTGACAAACAAATGGACTTTCATTCAGATTGCCTTTTTCAAGGCAAATAATCTGTCACTTTCAAGTTTTTCATGTCTCAGACACTTTAAAAAACTGTTCAATTTATTAATGGATTTTGAACTGGGGCAAGAAAACAATTATGATTTATTTGTGACCTTTGTTCAAAATCTGGATGATTTTTAAAAAAGGGACTTAATAGTACAGCTCTTTTTGGAAGGAAGTATCCTTTCCACATTCCTTTTAGTCATTTGCCGTTGACAAATTTAACAGACCACTGCCCTTCCTGTACCCAAGATTTTCCTGGGATCCAGACAGTCTTTGCCTTCCATCTGAAACTTCTCCCTATTTCCCCACACCTCTTCCCCCCTCTTCTTTCTCTCCACTAATTAAAGAGGACAAAGCAGCCTCTTTGCACCTTGCTCTCCATCTAAGAGCATCTCAAGAACTTCTGCCATCTACGGTGAAGTGTCACTTCCTGGTGGACGAATCCATGTTTTCAAACTTCAGCTGCCCAGCAGCTCTTCTCCATTCAGTTTCATGGCAGTTTCTCAACAGATGTGCCTGTTCCACATGAACTAGCACGTGGGATGGGTGCAACCTTGATCCCCGCCAAGGGCTTGGTGAGCGTCTTTCCCTTCCATTCCAAGGGCCATCTTGTCAAGAGCCTCCCACGCATCTCCTTCTGCCTCCCATCTATCCCAGCTGTGGTTTTGGCCTGGCGGTTAGCATCTCTCCACACTATAGGCCCCTCTCATTCCTGTCTCTCAGCATTGGGGCAGCTGGAATGGCTCAGCCTCAGCTTTCTTGGGCCTGGATCAGTTTACGAAAACGTCAGTCATTTTTGCTTGGCTGCACCCCCTACAATCACAGCAGGCCCAGGGTCACCCCTGAAAAGTTCTTTATCTTTGCTTCTTACCCAACCGTAAAACACAGGGACATTTTCAATGCTGCAGCTGCAGAGCG